TATGTTTGTATTGTCTTCATTTGAAAAGATTTTTTTCTTTTTTTTTCCCCAATGAGGATGTGAGTGAAGGTATTCCAAGGGGGTGGCTACTCCATGTCCCTGTATCCAGAAGCCCTCTGACTCACAAGTGTGTTAGCATGCAAATGGAGAGGAGGGAAGCAGTTGTCTGCTAGAGGTGTACGGCAGAGGACTGGGAAATAAAGACAAGATGCAGAGGCAACCACACTCCTCCTACTACTTTAGATGTCTTTTAGAAAAAAGAAAAAAAATCCAGCTAACTCAAAATCACATGCTAACAAGCATGACTTGAGACAGCTGCGCAGCCTTGCATGAACAGGTACAAGATACAGATACAACACTGGCACCAAACTCTCTCTGCAGACTGCACAGACGCTAGATGCTTTTTATGGAAATTACCAATGTATATGAATGAGTAAAATAAAATCTACACACACCAGCAACAGATTTTCAGCTTTGGTTCTCAAGTTTCCTCCTCAAATCCCTGAGGGTCCATGGGTGACGACCACTGAGAAATTGTTGACAAGTGGTTTAAAGTCTTAGTAGTGATCTGGACCTTTATCAGGAAAGTGAAAGGACAGCAAATAAAAACTGAAGATCAGTTATAGCTTTTTCACCCTTGTAGTCTCAATTATAGTACAATTCTAGCATACACAAATGATTACCATAACACTGATAAGCTGATTAATAGAACTGCACAATAATGTATTTTAAAAATCAAAATAAAATTTAAATATAATTGTAATTCAGCTGCTCTACCACACAGATACATATACAGTCCTTAATTATCTGTGTGTCAAGTGATACACAGTTCCACTTACAACAATATTTAAGACTTACTCAATTAGATAGACTTGAAAAGCTTTTACAGAGTAAGCTGATCTGTGGCAACCACTCCAGGGTAGTTTCCCAAACATTCCCAACGGCACACCCGGAACACACAGATTATTATTTTGGAATAAAGAGTACCCACAAATGGAACAAAATACAGCCACAGCAAGTCCAAGAGGAGAGATTATGGTCTGCTGCTTTGACGTTACATATGGGAAATGCTATTTGTCCTTCTCTCTCTCTCATTGGACAAGTACTATACCATGATGACCTCTGTCTTTCTTAAAACAGCACTAGTCATTTGTATACCTGCAATGCTCCCTGCACGGGATAAGCAATCATGTAGGGCCTTTGCACCAGAGCACAGAATCCTCCTTTTCAAGCCACCTACCTGCCTTGCTCTTGAAGGAGTTGACGAGACTTAGATCCTGCCCCAAGAGCACTCTTCCACTGAACAGCAATGAAGCAGTATACTGTGCCTAAACTTGTCCCTAAATACACTAGAGGAGCTCCTCTGAAAGCTGGTTGAGCAGCACCTCACATCTAGGAGTGAAGCTGAGTTCTGCTGCCTCCTCCGCAATGGCACTGCACCACCAGGTACAACTGAGGACAAATAAAGTCTCTGACCCAGGGCAGCTTGCTGCTCCTGGCAAGGGGAACACTGAGGATGCCATGGCACAGCCCGGGGGGGGGGGCAAAGCTGGGGGGTAATTCTGCGTGGCTTGTGTTCAGTGCCTCCCCAGAAAACCTCCTTTCCAAGGCCAGAGAAAACACTGCAAGGAAAAACTCTCCCCATAGGGGAAAAAGGTTTTCCTTTGTTGCTCATTCTCTGCAAGAAAAACTTACTCATGTCTTCATACCTCTTAAAGTAGAAGTGGATACTATAATCATGTTGCCGACATCCTTCAGAACTATTTACATTATGAATATACTCCCCTTCCTTTCGCTTAATCACTCAACTAAAAAACCTACGTTTTAGGCAAACATTTCCAGTGTAAGGAGGCTGTTTTCAGACTGAGTCCCAGGCTCTGGGTATTTCCAGCAGAGTTTCAGAATACCATACCACCACCCACTTTGAAATGGCCTCTGGCTCTGAAGAATTAGCTAATTCAATTACACAAATGCCCCTTTTCAACAAAGCAGAGAAGCCTGTTGCCTTTCTGCATCCCCTTGCCCATGGCAATCGTTTACCACCTCTTTTCAAATGTGCTATTAGAGCTAATTATGAACAATCAAAGAATTCAATGGCTGAAGCTTTCCAGTGACATTAGTGAACAACCCTCTTGAAACCGCAGTACCACTGTTCAAAACAAAGAGCACAGGCTCTGGACCACGGCAGTCCAGGAGCTTGTGGTTATTCCCAGAATTAAAGTGGTTTCAAGCGAGCTACTGGAACGAGTGAGCCGAGCCAGGTGACCTCCTCCTGCTCCCAAGCTCTGTTTATCAACGAAGAGCAGTAAGTTGACTCTTGCCGAGCCTCTTGATCCAGAGACTGCAAGTGCTTTGACAACAGACAGTACATAGATATCTAATATAAGGCAGCAAAAGTGAGTAAGAAACATCTAAAGGCACAGTGAACTGGTCATCCTGCAGAGCACCATCGATACAGATTGCTTAGGGCAGCTAAATCCTTTAGCACGCTTCAAGAGAGCCAAAATGGAAGAGCATTTATTAAAAAGGTAATAGAAGAGAGCATAAATCTGTCGTGCTGTTTGACTAACTTTTCAGAAGCATACTAAAATACAGGCAATTTAAAAAAAAATTGGTCTGTAACATTTCTCTCCTTCACTATCTGCTCACAACCCTCATAATTCCTCATTTATTCTTTACCTCTTATGCTGCCTGCATGTAGGTACTGCTGCATAACTGAACAAGACAGAAAAACACCTGAAGACCTGTGCGGTGAGTGGAAGTCGCCAGAGGCTGCTTGCACGCCAGGCTCTGGCAGAGGTGCTGCATGCAGCCTGCGAAGGGAACCTCTAGCTAGAGCACATCGCTCTGAAATAATAGCGCCACTGATTCAAGTCACCAGAGATTCCCTTACACTTAACCCACTGTTCTTTATAGCCTACACATTAACTGATAGTGCATTTGGTAATGTATAATAGCAGGTGCTGTGCTGTTTATGGCCTGTTAGGAAGCCAGAGTTTTTCCCTCTCCCTTTTTCTTCTGGTTGATCTTAAAATTCCTTCTGCTCTTGCTTTGGATGTGAATTCTTACAGGGTAAAGGTCAAAATAAAAAAAGAAGAGAAATAAACATTAGGTCACAAAGTCTTGAAATGTTATTGCAATTTATATATGGCTGAGAATAAAAATGTGTCTGCCTTGTCTGGGAACACACCTACGTGCGAACAGAGACCTTTATAAAAAATTCTCCTTTATTACCTTGGTGGTGAAAAAAAAAATAAATTCAAAGATTGATTTTCTTTTTATGGCTATTATTAACCTTTTGTTACTGGCCAAAAATAATCTGGTTAGAAAACGTGCAATACATCAAAAAGAAAAAAAGAAAAGAATATAAGAGAAAATTAATGTTCAGGGTAAAAATAAGATGACTCTCCCTTCAGCCTCTTCTTCTAAGAGTCAGACTTTACCTCCAAAGAAATGAGACAAGCATCAAAGAGGAGTGACTTTTCAGATTGCTGGTAGTGTCCCAGACAGAACCATCTCCCAGGCTGCCAGGGAAAAGGGGACCGGGCAGGTGTCTGATCCAACTCCTCCCCAAATGATCTCAGTGCAAAGTTCTTCCCATATGTATCCAACATGTCACTCACCAGCTTCAACTGAAAGGCGACCATCTAGTCTGCCAGTGGAGCACACAAAGCCCCCCATTTGTACTGGCTCCACTGCCCTTCTTCTATGTAAGGAAAAACTCCTGTAAAATCCATTACAACTGAAACCCCTGAGGTCTGAGCATGAAAATATGTGTCTCACAGCTACTGAGGAGCCATGCTTCCTAATACCCATTCCACCTGCAATTCTGATGAGGCAAGGGCAAGAAAGACTTTTTGACAAGGATTTCATGTGTGTGTAAATACCAGCACAACTGTTTGTAGCCCATGAACACTACAAGTCTGCTGACAAGTGTTCAGATTGCAAACCTCCTACAAATTCCTGAGGCATTTATTGCAAGGCTGCTTAAGAACTCACTGCTAAGAGCTAGCAAATTTGTCAGCAGAGGTGCATATATGTCCAAACTAGGCAGGAGAGCAAAGACAGTAAATGCCACACTGTTAAAGAGCAGTCAATCATAATTTGACAGAAATATGTTGAACAATTATATCCAAACACAATCGCATTTGCACAGGTCAACCCTTAATTACAACAAGCTGACAAAACCAGGAGCATTGACTCATGAGCACAGGCAGACTCAAGCTGGCTGGAATGAACCACTTGCAAAGCAGCTGTGGAACCACCACAGTTCACAGCCTGTTCTATTAAGGTACTAAAGTATTAAAACTACTCCTAGTTAAGCTCAGACGGGTGGGCTCCAAACTGCAATGGCTAAAAAGCTGCTTTACATTCAAATAAAGTCAAATTGTACTAGACATGGTGACCCCAAGGGGTTGAGGTGGGTATGTGGGGATGGAAATGGCATAAGCAATTTGACTTTGCCCTCAGTCAGCACTAAGATTCTACTGTAGCTGTCACATGTCCTCTACGTGACCTGAAGCAGCACCTACCCCTGCAGCCTGCTTTGCTGAAAACAGACATTTATCGACGCTTTTCTGCTAGGCAAAGTGAGATTCTCTTTCCATTAGTCCACAAAGTTCTGCTGAGAGTGTAGTGTTACAAAAAATATGTTGGAGAACGCACTTTATGTAGGAAGCTGCCAGACACCTCATGTGCAGGAAATCACTCTTGCCATCAGTACCACAAATGACACTGGAAGCCACAGCCAAGTGGTCAAAAAACTTTACTGCAGAGAGAAGTTTCATCAGGAACTGAAAAAGGCCCTTTATGACTATGTATTTCATGCAACCAAATTCTATTATTTTTCCCAGGTTACCTTTTTTGGATGTTCTTTGCTGTGTTAAGTGCACTGAGAGAACCTTCTATGGAGTTTTGAAAGAATTCAGCTTCATGCAAAACACTTGGTCAGGAGCCTACGTCACACATCAATCAAATTCAACTTTTTATTCCTTTCTTACCTGGCTGTTAACATCAGCAGCATGCTGTAACAGTACTGAAACCAGCTCCTTGTGTCCTCTGTCACATGCCCAGTGGAGCAAAGCTCGACCCTGCAACATCCAGAAGAAAATTAACAAAAGCCAGCCAAAAAAAAGCACAGGGAATCACAGTCTTGCTATTAAGTACTGAGTACCAGTAACAAAATTAACACAGACTGTTAAAAAGAACTACAGTAATATTAATATGTAACATACTGTTGCTCCTTATTTGGATTTACAGAATAATACTAGAAACGTTAAAAGTGACACATAGTTCAATTTTTCATTAATTTAGCATCAAGCCCACAAACCAGCAAAAAATTTAGAGGGGAAAAGCAGCAAAGCATGAAAAGCAGGAGCCATGACACAATTTGTTTTCCTATATAGATTTGGGATTTTGACACTTCTGACTTTTCTGGGAGCAACAACTTAACACAGTAAGGGTTAGATTTTCAATACCAAGTCACTTGGATGCCAAGTCCCAGGAAGCTCATTCCTCTGGTAGGTCCAAACCACTAAACGCACTGGCCCTGCCTCTGCTGCAACAGAAGATTAAAACTGGGCATCTGGGCAGGCATCACCTGTGACCATCCCCCTCTCAGCTCTGCAAGATGGGATGCTGCATCCATTGCCTCCAGCCCCACCCAAACCACTGCAGTTTTCTTCCCATCCCCTTTCTATAAGTGTCTGCACACCTGAAGGCTCTCTGAATATGTGGAAGTTCATATCTTCCTGTCAAGGACAGGGGAAGTGGCACAGGACCCGTCTGAAGGCTGACACACACATCTGAAAACCCAGCTGGCCTTGGGAAGGGCTATGGAAGTAGAGGATGGAAGTCAAGCTTTTGGGGTTGGGTTCATGGGTGCCTCTGATTCTGCGCTAGAGCAGCCAAGTCTATGAAAAGTAATGCCTCTTTTTGTGACAAGACATCACAGCAGAGCTGTGATACAGTTTCACAGGCTTTAAACAGCCCTGTGCTGAGGCTGGAATGCTTATCTTCTTATAATGCAAAAATGCATCCCAAGCAGTAACAGAACCTTTTGACAAGCATCTCTAAGGCATTTTCTATGAACCATATAAGATTTTATGTTGGCAACTCCAAAGAGGAAAGGTAGCTGAAAATAGTCTGAGGTAGAAGGCTTTCTTCTTTGCTTACTATGTACCCTTAGTAAATCAGGCTTACTGTTAATATCAGTTTCCTGATTTAGGACAGCATGTGGCACACTTGCAGGGGATTCCTTGGAAATCACCCTGCAGATAACCAGGAAATCATCCCCCAAGCTGTGACACCATCAGACCAACCTGTTTTCCAGTATGCTACACAAAACAGTCACAGACCTTCACAGATGAAATCAGTTAAATTAGCCCATGCCTGGTTATAAATCTCTCAACAGAGCAGTGGGGAACAAGGTGAGCAACTCATTTATCTGTTAATGGGGACTGTGAGCCAAATTTCCTGACCACGGTGCCAAAACAGTAGGAGGGGCAGAAGACACCTGCAACTGAAGTTCACACTGCTTCTGCTGGATATTCTTGGGCAGGGTAACAGAGGTAAAACATGATTTTGAGTCAGGAAATGCAATGTCAGACAAAATGCATTAGGCTTTTTAACACACTTTTTGACCCAGCAAGTAATTAATTTTTGTAACACATAATTTTAATGTTACACTAATTAACCTTGGATTAGAATGAATTTTCTAACAGTGACTTTCTATGGAAGCACTGATGACATCCATAGGCCATTTAATGATTAATGTTCTTGCACTCAACACCCCTATCAAAGTCTAAAAGGAGGAAAGAGTACAATTTAAAACAACCGGTAAATATGGAAAGATCTTTTAATTCATGTTTAGCATCCTTAACTCATCTCTGGCCTGGTAATTAGTTAAGATTTAGGATTACAGTTGGACAAATACCAACTTTTTTGCTCCACAGATGTTTACTTCAAAAAAGCACTATCTGTAATATGCACAATAGCAATAAATACTTCAACAGATTACTTCTGTTTATGTATAGGTAGAGGAATAATACTGTAATTACACAGGAGTAATTATTGTGCAACTACATGACAAAATAAAGGCATTTCTATCAAAATTCACATTACAGGTTACTGGCTGTAAACATGTTGGTTTGCATTTGTCTCTGGACAAGCAGAATCTTCATTTTATTGGTGCTGAATTTGGCTGAGACCAATAAAGGCAAAACCAACAGTTTGGGAGACCCGGTGCTGCCAATTCTGTCAGCTCAGGGGTACTGCAGCACTGTACAACTAGTCCCTTCCCATAACACTGGAAGGCTGGTTCTCCTGCAAATGTTGCCTTTTGAACAAGCAACTGAAGCCTGATCATCTGTAGTCATTAAAAATCTCCTTGTGCTATTTGCAGGAGTATGGATTTCAAGACTTGGGCCAATTCCACTTTGGGTAATTACACTCTGCTTACCTATATATTTTCTCTGCAATTCTAAATGGATACAATATTTTCCAATTAGTGCCTTAAATGGCTCTTCATTATAATTGTGCACTATTAAAAAGCTGACACATTCCACCCAAGAAACGTCTGCATCCTTGCAGTATGCTACGCCCTAAACACAGGGTGTAAGGGACTTTGGAAACCTGTGAAAGAGCACACCATTTGATATGGAAGTAAAAATACCTGCAGAAGAATATCAACCTACTCACTGTATAACAAAAAGCATTACTAAGAAACTTGCATTTAAAATAAGATAATGTTCACCACTGTTTGCACAGTATCAGGCAGACTAAAATGCTCAGGAGTTCTAGCTAATGTACTTAGGCAGCTATACAGCTACTAAGTTCACTTGTTTTCCACGTCTACTTTAAAATAAACAAGACAAACTGAGTGTACAATCCAATTCTTCGTATAGCATGGATATCACCTATGCATGTTGAAAAAATTTTTAGTCTGCACAGCTGTTGCTTTATATCAGCATATAACATGTGTTTGTGTATTCAAATAACATGGCAGAAATATTAAGAGCCACAGATTGAGCTTTCCCAAAACACTTCCCATATGACTATTTCATTAAGCAGTGAGAGTCTCAAAGCAAGATGAATAATTCCATATAGGAAAGCAATGCAATATTGAGGTCTTGACTAAATGTAATCAAACATCAAGGTAGTCTTCAAACACAACAGTTGTCGCAGAAGTTACTTTAGAGGATGCATTTTCCCCTGTCTTTGAAGTATTAAAATAAAAAAAGCGCATAAAAATAGCTCCAGTGCACTAACCCTGCCTCTTAAACCTTCTGTGCTTTGCTTGGATAACCGCTGCCAGCTTGGCCAGCTTCTGCAGCAGTTTCTCAAGCCAACAGCACATCAATTTTGCTCAGCTCCAAGTCACAGGGTGTTCACAAACAAAGCACAGGACAGGGATTTGTCTCAGATATACCGAGTCTCAGCAGACAAACGGATGGGAATGATTTTCACATCAATTAGCCAATGCAGAGAGAGAGAACAAAGCCAAACTGAATGGATGCGCTACAATATTAAGCTATACTTCTAGGCACGATGTTTGCAGCTGTAATGGCTATATAGCAATGAAAGCCACTCTAACTTGTGGCAAGTGTTTTATTATAAGTAATTAAGAAGAGAACGGCTGCATTCCTCTCGTGACAGCAAAAGCAGTGAATGGAAGGGCTGTTGTTGCAATTATACCAGTAAACTTCAGATTTGATTTGGAAGTCAATCACTTTCAGAGCTCCAAAACATTTGAAGAAGTTTTTCTAATGGGAGTAAGCCTGTAAATCCTGAAGTATGCGATTCTTCCTCAAACTCATTTTTTCCCCCTGTCCTTTCCCTGGCAAGCTGGCAGCAATTTGGCACTTGCTGTCTCAAAAGCATGAGGATCAGGGACTAAGTGAACATCATTTCAGATGCCTTTCATTAAAGTTTTGGCAAGGGCTTAAATAAACTACACAGGTAACATGTTTGTTTACTGGGATTTCTCCAACAATTAACAAAAACATTCTCTATCTACAACCTCAACAGCCCTTGGCACAAACTACAAAAGCAACTCATCTTGTCTTTGAGCAGTTTCTGGTTTGTTAGAAGTTGAGGAAATACTGTTCTCAAAAAGGCGGCAAGCAATCCACACTACTAGCATGTGCCTGTGGCAACTTCACAGCCACAGCCCATTTCTTATTTCATTAGTCCTGCTGACATAAGCAAGAGAAACGGGTTGTTTTAGTCTGTGCTGCTTCTTCTAAGTGAATGCAAGCTATTCTGTTGAACTCTGGGCAATTTAGATACAGTAAATGGAAGCTTGTACATGATTACTGTCATTAGATCCTTTGTTTAATTCTAAATGGAAGTTTATTATATCCCAACTGTTAGCAGGTATGCTGGCTTGAATGCTGTACATGAAGATAGTTATTTCTTGTGGGGAGAAGACCACTTCTGCTTTGAGTTACCAAGTGCATCTATCTAAACCCCAGACACTTCTATTGCCCTTACTGAAATCCTTCTGCTTCGAGTAAGTTGGCTTGTCCTCATTTTACATTTTTATACTTGATTTCTCCTTTTGCTAACTTACTTCAGGTTTGCACAAAACAAATGGATAGAATTATATACAGTACTAAACCATCACACAGAAATAAAATCTAAACATCTTACAACCTCAGTCAGGTCTTTATTGTGCAAGAAAAGGCCAAGCCTGGGGTCTTTGCAGTTTAGCATAAGACTATTTGGTGCTTCAGTAGATTTTGTTTCCTAACAAGTTAACTCTTTGTATGCATCCCCGCTGCCATTTTAAATTAATATGCATTTAAATCAAAGGATTGACAGCATGAGTTATGGTCAGAGGGCTAGGAGAGGCATCTTTTGGATATGCCAGGATGTATTATAGAGTAACACTAAAATAGTTAATAAAAATGACAAGATTATGTTTGCCTACACTTCACTCTACCAAAGGCTCAGTCTGGGTTATCTCCAGTATAAAATGGGTTCTAAAACACCAATCAACCTGCATGATATTGGAAAATAAGCCACCCTCAAGACTGTGAAGAACACATTTGGATACTGAACAACATTGATAATGGTTTCAGCTCTGTAACATAACATGAAACAAGTATTTCTTTCAGATTTTTTCTTTTTGGTATGCTTTCTTTTTTTTGACCAGTTAAGAGTCAAGCCTAAGGAAGCCAGCACTTTCCACTTTCCTGTTTGAGCATTTGCTGGAGCACTGAGGCTATAAAAATTTCTCTAGGGGGGAATTTTGCACCAGTGGGAATCTTTCCATGAGTCCTTCACAGGTAGGCAGGGTTTTCAGCTCCTCTCTGTGCTGAAGCAATTCCATACTCTGCAAGAGTCATGTGCTAATACTCATTAGTTCAGAAACAGGTCTTCTCTTACATCAGAGACTCATGCATAATTCCCAAAGAGGATGTCACCTGGCAGTTTTCAGATCTGGCTGTAAACATTTATGTTGTTAGAGCACAAAAATATTTCAGTCATCTTTCATCAAATATTTTGATTTTTAAAAAACAAAATTTCTTTGGCTGAAAATAAGCACATTTGTTGTTTGAGCACAAAGGAAGGCAAGAGCTTCTGAACCCTGCTAACTATAAAAGAGCATCTTGCCAGTGGAAATGAAGCAATGCTAACACGATGTTATTATACACTTATTGTAAGCGTGCGATCCCAAAAATGAGCTTTTGTTAATGAAAGGACTCCAGCTGTGTTCTGTGGAACTGCCCTGGACATTTACTTCTATAACCTGTGATCAGCATAAGGAGGGAGGCAGCTCAGTAATGGCGCTGTTGCAGCGACTGTGTGGCATGTGACAGTTTCAGTTCATTGAATTTATGATGTGAAATTCCAACCCTGATCGTGAACACCCTCACTCCTTTCCTCTGAAAATTAATTCACATGAATTTCTGATTAATAATAAAAGGCCCTGCCATCAGCATTCAGAGCCCCAGCCGGGGCTGTCATGGCTCAGAGGGCAGAAATCTGCTTAGAGCTACAGGAGAACCCAACTGAATTTGTGGCGTCTCAGTCTATGAATGTGTAAGCACTTCATCTGTTCACCAAAACACAATGTGCTGGAAAGCAGCGGGCAAAAGTAGCTGTACATACGATGGACCACGACCAGGGCTAGGTGGCAGTATGCAAGCATCAAAACCAAGGCAATAAAGCTGGTTCTGCTACATTTCCTGTACAGGAATCTGTCCACACTGTGTTTACTTTTACCAAGAAAAGGATCAAGCCAATTCACAATTTTAGACACATCTTTTTCTTGAGGTTTCTGGCAATGCCTGTATTATCTCTCTAGGTAGAAATGGCGTTTTAAGTTTGATGAGCAGAAAAAGACTGGACGATGTCACTGGTTTCGTGAAGCTGGAAAGCCAGTGTCACTCATTTGCCCTCCACCTGGGAATGATGAAAAGTTGACAGCATGGTAGAAAACCTATTTCACCCATAAACAGTTAATTGGTCAAAAAAGCCATTTTCCTTGCTTCCTACTTCTCTTTGACCACATTTCATGTACAAGATGGGGAAGGGAGGTATTCAGAAGAGCTTATCCTGCAAGAGGTTGTTGGTGTTGCTGAAAATAATATAGAAAGTAAGTTTCCGATAGGCTGCAGCATCACAGTTACACACTACTAGAAACCTAGTGGAAAGCTACTTTCAAATAGATTATCCTCGTCTCAATGACCAATTGTAGTACCTGGTTACAACAATCCTAACCAGGGAATTTTGAAAAGGTGTGGCACTGAATAAAAACACAAACCAGTTAAATGATAGATGGTCTTTATATTTTTCTCCGTACCTCCTCATCTGTGACATTCACATCCACTTTTTTTGATCGAATGGCTTTGGATACATAGTCAATGTTGTTTTCTCTGCAGTAATCAAAAATGTTCTTGTCCTCTTCCCTATTCAGGAAACAAAAAACCACCGTGTTACTGCATAACACAAAGGTCACATGCACATCATATGCTCTAACTTTGCTACAGACATTTCAATACTATCACTGGACTGAAACAGACACCTAGTATTGCACATGCAGGATAATATGTTTTTTTTTTCCCCAAGTTAAGAGACAGAAGATCCTGCTTCCTAGAAAACAAAGGTTGATTTTAATAATATTATGCCAGGAAAGAGGTCAGCTTACTCCTGTGAACTGGCACAAGAAGTCTAGAAAGTTAGCCAGCAGAAAACACATTCAAGTCCTGGTATAAGTCAATGCAATCCCACAGAAGATAAAAGGCTAAAGCTGCTCTTCTACTTGCTATACAAACTTGTAATAGCCATGCTGGGTCAGACCAAAGATCCTTCTGATGCCATCCACCTCAGAGAGTGGCCACTAACAGTGGCTTGAAGAAAAAAACTAGAAGAAACAGGACACATGCAAAGCAATCTGTCCCTGGTTGGATCCTCCCAGCTTCAAAAACTCAGTGGCTTAAGGACTTCTGTAGCTAGAGGCTGCATTCAAATGAGCATATTTATCAATCTTTTCTGGGTTCTTTATCCATTCTATTCTGCTCTTTAACCCATTTGTACTCTTGGCCCCTCTAAAGGACAAGCTCTACAACTTCGTATTCTGTGTGTGAAGGGGTGAACAGTGGGCAAGTAATTTCTTTTGGTAGCTTTAAAACAGGTGCCTGCTTTTATTGGGTACTCTCTCCTAAGTAATCGTCCAGGGACTTGTGAAATCTTTGGTGTTTGCCTTGGAACCTGGCCACAGGGCTTGGTTTTTATTTTTTTATTTGCCAGACTGCAAGTGACCCAGTTGCACTCCTTTTTGCACTGACAGTGTTAAGACAAGGCTTGACCGTGATCTCAGCTCAGAGCAGCAAAGCTGGCATATGGAGAGGGACCAGCATGTGTCTCTGCCAGGATACCAGTGTGCTTAAACCTGCTTGCAGGCACAAAGATCATGTTACGATGTCACAAGTGCCTGAGTTATACTTACAGCTTCTTCCAGAGCTAAAAGCAAAACTCTGTCTTCAGACACAGTAGAACTTCTGTCCTTACTAGCCAACCAAACAGAACCTCTAAAGTTAAAGACCTTTCACAGATTCTTAAAACATTAAAGAGCTTTGTAAGAGTGACTGGAGCTACAATGCTTCACGGCAGTTAAAAAAACCCAAATGTTAGGAATCTTTAGCAAAGGTACAGAGAAGAACTAAGACATTTTTATCTTGCTGTATAAATCTGCAGTCACGTATCTAATGATGGGAAGTTACTGGCACCAGTAATGCTGAGAAAGTAGAACTCTCCTACCATCCATGCTGGTATGCCAGTGGAAAGTTACTCCTTCCAATTCAGCTAATTCTTCTATGGAAAGGGCACTATGCACTATGCCATACTAGCACAAGGCAACTTTACAATAATACCTTTAGATATAGATACATGGATACAACTGTGTTGCTAGTAAGGAGTAAAGTAAAGAGGTCATTGGTTTTCTAGAGGTAAACCAAAAGCCCACATACTACTCTCTCTTTATAGTTTCCAGATGAAAACTATGGCTCAAATGAACCTGTCAGTGTTGCTATGGGACTTGGCAGCTTCGCCAGAGTTAAACACAGAGTAGTTGCCTCTCATGACATCCCTAGTTTTCAATCACCTTAAATTAAGTTGGTCTGGATGTTCAGCAGAACTCAGACCTGACAGCTTCAAAGGAAATTCCTCATGAAAATGGGAGGTTGCTGGAGCGGGTCAGACCCAGTAGGAAGCTTGTTCTGCTGTGGGCCTTTCAGGCAGGAGAGAACAGTCTCTGCAACACAACTGGGCAGTCTGAGAACTGATCCCCCAGTGCTAAAAGGCAATAGTACTCCTTCTATTCATCTGCACTGCTCTTGAACCTCACAGGCTGAAGGATGTCAGAGCAAGGAAAAGTAAGATCTAAATGTTATTTGCATTTCTGAGCAATGGATTACAAAGAAAAAGTAATGATCTTTGACCTGTAGTCCCCCCAAAATGAAAGCACCATTGCCACCAAGACCATGTCCCCTGCTCCCATCAGGACAGGCAGATGTCCATGACACAACTTTGACTTTGTCTCTTATTGTTATGCATCTAGCTTACTAAGTTACACTAATTCTTCACACCTGAAGCATGTTTCCTTCCTCAGTGACAGTGAAAGGTGGGAAAAAGTGATGATATTCAGCTCCAGCAGTAGAGTGCTGCTTTCTCCAAAGTCACTTCCTCTGACCTGTCTCTCACCTTGCTCAGTTAGTAGGACCGTTCTCCGGCACATCACCCCTATTCCTTATATGCAAGCAGTCCTTTCAAACAACTGAGTTGCACCTTTCTAGTAAAGAGCTGGGTGCCACATAAAACTTCACAGTCCATATTTAGGCCTAGGGACATTACAGAAGTCTTCCAGTTTCTTAAGCAGTCTCTCATGAACTCATTTGTTGAAGGTCTTGTCTGCTCACTACACACAAGCTCCTGGGAAACATATCACTGCATGCTTTAGATGCAATTACTTTGAATTCTGGGGAAAAAAAGAATCTCATGGTGGGATTAGAAAAGGCAAAAGCTCATACTACTCAAGATGGAGCTTGACAGATTCATGATGGAGGTCATGAGACATGCCTGCCCCTACTAACAAGGCCTGATTTGATATGCTGGGAAGTCCCTCCAGCCCTACCTTGTTAGTTCAACCTCTCAAACACACCCTTGGCTGGAGAAATGAGCCTTTTGCATGAAGCTGCTTTTCAGACAACACTGTACAGTAACTTGGTTCCAGCAGCTTTTTCCCCATTGCACAGCCATATGCACTTAATTTATGACAGATTACTCTTTCTTCTATAGCACCAAAGCAAAGCACAGTCTCTTCTTGCTGGAGAAGTCCATAACCATCCTGGATGGTTACTCCTGGATGACTTACTGCGTCACACCCATTGAGCTCAGGCTGTGCCCTCCATCCCTGACAGTGATGCCACCTGGTTAGCTGGGCACTGGCATTTCCCCATGCGTCAGAGCTCGGATGGCTCAGCCCCACCAGACCTCACACAGAAGTACCAGAGGAACCAGGAGGTACCTGGCAATGATAAAGCAACCGACTGTGCTCCCCGGGAGCATGCTGCGGGGGCTGTACCTGTGGGGAAAGGGCACCTTAACACGGACGTACCAAAACAAGGCACTCTTCCTACCACAGCCTCCAGACAGGACTTCTACAGTCTCTTCCCCAAGGATATTATTATTGTCTGTAAGGGGGAAATGACCTGACACAGCCATTTGGATATGATTTAGCTTTTCTGGATAACCACCTCTGTAAATGCTCTATATATCCTCCTTCCAAAAAAACACTCTTCTTTCAGAAGTCTCCACAATGGAATTAATCCAGAATAGCAATTTCCCCACCTGAAGATAAGGTTTTGGGAAATTTTGTCTTTCTACTCTGCATTTCTTTCTCAAGTTTTAAACCATTCATCTGCTCCTGATGCCCCCTTTAAAGAAATTAGCATATATTACCTCCAACTTTTCTATAAATACTAACAAAGATAAATGAGCCCTTTCCTGAATAGATTCAAGGGAAGTCCATACAGTCATAACAAAAACATTTTACCTGCCAACAGAATAAGTCACCTGAAGTTGCACTCCAGACATTTAAAACAATTTGATCTAGTTGTGTGCTAAAACCAGGAACAGAAACTGATAGGAGAGCTCAGAGAAGCTAAAACCAGATTTTTGAAGGGACCAATACTAGGGAAAAGCTCCAATTGAATGGTGTGAATGGAATAAAGACAAGTTACTGTTATTTACTGAATTTGCATTCAAAACCACACAGGACAAATAAGAAACATAGCTTACAAACCTTGCAACTCAAGTTTCTCCCTCCCGCCCTTTATTTCATATGTGTTTATGTGTATGTGTACATACTCAGTAATCCCTCCACTGTAGTAGCTACAAGAAAACAAAAAGGCTGCAGCATTATTATCAGACTGGTTCCCATCAGGAATTTGCACTCCACATAAAACTGGTAAGAGTCAGCAACAAGGCCCAGAAACCGGTATAAACAGTCTAAAACCAGACAGAAGCACATCAGAAATACAAAAGTAAGCGACGCTGCAAAGACAATGCTCAGATAATGTTGGGGCTGGGGGAGAAGGAGGACGTCAACAGACATACACGACATGGGCTGGACACATCACCCATAGCATTTCTATGAGTATTTTCAGAAAAATATAAATTTAAGTAAAAATACGGCATTCAGGACATCTTCAGATGGGAAAGATCATGAAACTCAACCTAATGGGGATGTGCACAATTATTTAAAACCCATAGGTAAAAGGAAGACGCAGATACAATTTTGTTTCCACATCAGATTGTGTGATATACAAACACTGGCTCTTTTTGTTGAGCTAAAAAAGAGTCTTCAAGTCAGCAACCATGTCACTGTCGGTAAAGGCAGCGTATGTGTTTACATCTCTTTCCTGAGGATGGCCAGAAGGGTTTCTCTTCTCCCTTGCTGACACACGTTCAACCCCAAAGCTATTTTCTTCTGCTGTCCCCCAGAGATGCTAACTCTGATTTCATGTTGAGCTGAAGCATATCTGTTGCCCGCAGGTAACACATGGACAGTTTTTTCCATCCATGAATAAAAGGATGTGGAAGAACTTAAACCAAGCCATCTCTCCCCAGGCTTGGAAGACTTCACAAGCCTTCTTCATAAGCTCTCCAAAAGATGTGTTGAGCCAACAGTTTTTAAAAAGCTCATGGAAAAGATCTGGTGCCGGTTAAATAGGCTTCACTTCCTTCTTACCTGGAGTGCTGTAAGCCTCCTTGCTTTCTCAACAGCCTCCAAGACTGCCATAAAAAAGGGCACAGAAGAGACTTAAAATTCAGATATTCTACCCTCATGCAGAGAGCATCCTCCAAGTTTGCCCCATCCCCTTCCTCCCCCCTCGCAGGTTACCTCCAG